TGGCTCCAATCAGGCGTGTTTGAGAAAGCCACTTACCGCCAAGAAAAAGATTTTGGACAGAATCGTGGTGAAGCATGTATGCCTCAGGATATCCTGGAGCGTCAGGCTCTGGACATAAATTCCTCGCATCTTCCGGTCTCAAGTCGTGGGCTGCATCGATCGCCAAGCTCCTCACATTAAACCTCCCATGCACCATCTCTAAGCTATTATTTCAGGCCTTGATAGGTATCAGTCTACCACTATACGGTCAATTGAGTACTCAGTACCTATAGCTAGATATTGGCTGTCCAAATGTCTCCATTGAACAATTCTATCGGTGTAAACAACGATGAGTTGTTTATTCAGCATGCCTGCACCCTCAAACGTCTTTACGTCATCGAGAAAAAGACGTTGAAGGATGTTAAGAAAGAAATGGAAAGGACGTATGGGTTTCCTGAAATGTCGTAAGTCGGGAGCTTTGATTGCTTGAAAATGATAGAAATAATGTGAGCGGCAGAATATCTATCTACGAAACACGGTTGAAGAATACGTTGAAACTTCGAAAAAAGATGAAAAGACTTGATTGGCCGATCGTCAATGAGCACTATCAGAAACGCAAAAGAGAAGGCAAAAAGTCGTCCTTCTATGTTCATGGTGTTCCCTGGAGCGAGGGCAAGGTCTGGAAAGAAATCAGACGATCTGACAGCAGAAGAAAATTCAATCGTATGTCTCTCCAAGACACCGGCACTTCTCCTTCATACTTAGAAGACAGGATGGCTGACTATGGTGCAATTAGCCCAGCGTAGTCCACCCCCGCTACCAGAAGGGATTGTCATACGAACCCCATCACCCGCCCAACCGAATTGTTTACCAGGCCCGATGGCAAGGGTAGAAAGCTTACCATCTCCTCTTGCACCAAATGTTTCGTCGTCTTTCTTTTCAGGGAGACGAGAGTATCTTGAAAATGATCCAGAGTTTTTGTTCTCAATGGCGAACTTTGGTCCCCTGCCTGGAGAGACTTTGAATGAATTCTCCAGCTGGGTGCTGTCGCTTTGCCTCGAAACCACCCCTTTCCGTAGTTTCCTTCACCGTACCTCTCGTGAGTTTGCTTGACTTGATGAAGAATGAGAGTCGGGCACTGCTGACCTACGTATACCATCAGATTTACTCACGAAGTCGTTGCACGATACGAATGTTAGCAATGCCAACAACAACCAGGAGGGATTTGCCACAGTGACTCCTATATCATCGCCAACATTGCAGGGGTCTGCATTCAATTTAGTCCATAGACCTCGTCACTTTGCTCAACAGCCACAACCTGAGTCGACCGTTCTTCCCAATTTCGATGTATACCACTTCTTAGCGAAGCTCATATTCGGACTTTCAAATGGTTTGGTCGCTCTAAACAAACCAAATGATCATATCTTCGAAATCATCAGCGATCGCTTGCCCGAAAGTTTTGTCAGGGCCTTTTTTGCTATCGACACACCGAGTATCAGGTCGGCCTGGGAGACACTTTTCAGACTTGCCGGGATGGATCAGCGCAGAGATGCTTTTATAATGCTGATATCCATCGGGCTTCGACATCAAACATGGACTCGACCAGCAATGAGTTATCTCTTATCGTACGCTGCTTGGATGCATTGCGTCGATATTTTTCGGAAATTACTTCATATTAGAGTTTCTCCTAGTAAAAGTTGGAACCAACATTCTCCAATTCTTGAGGCGCTTGCGGCTGAGGATGTCGTATGCGCGAAGTCGCTCATAGATAGCTTGACTTTGCATGCAGGGTCCCCAGTTGGTGACAGCCCTGAATAT